TTTCCTTAATTTAATTAGTATATGCATTATTGATAATTCTCTTTCAAAAAAGGAAGAAAATATTGGGCCGTAAAATTTCTCCTATTTCATAAAATTCTTAAAGCTCCAGCCTTTTTCTGAAAGCTAAAATTGAATGTTAAAAAGAGAAAAAAGATTTTATCTATGAATCCAAGAAAGTTAATTATTCATAGTTAACTTTAAAATTAAATCCTGCGAAATTTGTTAAAAATTTCATAAGAAATTTTTTTAGCATATCTGGTAGTGATCTTCATGATAAAATAATTGATGATAAAGCGTTAATGTCGGAAGATGAAGCACGCAGTTTCATTCGGCAAATTCTTCAAGGTGTGCAGTATATGCATAATAAAGATATCGTACATCTTGACTTAAAGGTTTGTTATTTTTGTTTTATTGGATTACGTATACTTCTTTATCATCAAATACATACTGTTATCTAGCGATTCTTATCCAGTTGTATTTCATGATTATCTAAAATTTGAATATAATTAAGTTCTATAATTATTAAAAAAGCATCCTTATGTGCGACGTGGAGTTCATTTATCAATTAATCACTCCATTATCACTGCTAATTAGTCGCTCATTAAATTATTTTTCTATTACTCTATTTTTATATATACGACATGGAGTTTGCTTGTTCAAGAACTATTCATTAGTGTAATATTTTATGTTATGAATAATCGTAATATATTATCACATTTAGCCTGAAAACATATTGCTCACTTCAAATGCAAGCAATGATATTAAAATCATTGATTTCGGTTTGGCACAAAAACTGTATCCTAATAAAAGTACAACATTACTATTCTGTACGGCGGAATTTTGCCCTCCAGAAGTGATTAATATGGAACCGGTTGGCTTGAGTGCTGATATGTGGGCTGTTGGTGTGATCGCTTATTCACTGTAAGCTTTGTTTAGGATTCTAAATGCTTTTATAAACAGATTTCAACGTCATTTTTTGTGAAATGAATGAATTTATATGATTAAAAATTCTAATGGCAATTAACTGAACCAGTACTAGAAAAGGTGACAACTTTCATTTTCATAATTACGATTTTGAAATCATGATAAGCAAATTATGATTTTCGGTTCGATTATGGAAACTGTTGTAATGGATGCTTTTTTAGATTATCCGGTGTATCACCGTTTATTGGACAAACAAATCAGGAAACGATGGCTAATGTATCATCTGGTGATTGGCAGTTTAGAGATGTAATCTGGGATAAAGTTTCCGATCTTGCTAAAGACTTCATTACTAAATTGATCGTCAAAAATAAAGGAAAACGTATGACGGTGGCTGAAGCACTTGCACATCCATGGATAACAACGGAAAAGTTGAAAGAAAAAAGTGGAAAAATTCCTTTCACTCAAAAGAAAAATTTCCCAATCCGAAAACAATTAAGTGACGTGTTGGTACCAATTGGAAAAATTGTCAAAACTGGTGCTATCTTCCGGCATCACTCAATGGATGGTGTATTTGAGAGAGATATTAGATTTGAAGCAAATTTTCCGCCGAGATTGCTAAAGAATTTAGAAGATATTGTGGTAAATGTTGGTGATCTGAGTGCTTCATTAATATGTAAGATCGAAGCGTTACCACAACCATCAATTCAATGGTTAAAAGATGGCAAGGAAATTCGCATAGAAGCTAACAAATATGAGATGCAATGTGAAGATTATGTTGTCGGACTAAATATAAAGAATATTGTTAAAGCAGATTCTGGAGTGTATTCGATAATTGCTACAAATGAGCTAGGCTCCATCAGGAGTGAAGCCAAAGTATCCACGGAAGGAGCAAAAGAGCAAAAGAAGAAAAAAGTTAAGAAAATAGCTCCTGAAGAAATTGAAAAAGAAGAAGCCAAAGAAGCAACAGTCAAATTTGAGTTTCATCCTAAGCTTAGTGATATGAGCGCAAAAGTTGGCGATTCGATATTACTTTCTGTTGCAATTAATTCGTATCCTGAATCAGAAGTTCAATGGTTTAGAAATGATGAAGCAATTGATATTAATAATCCAAGATTTATCATCAAAAAAGACAACAACGGTTTTCACAATCTAAAAATAGTATCATGTGATATCACCGATGCTACAAAATGGAAAGTTATAGCACGAAATACCACCAATCAATGTGAAAGTGAATGTAATATTAATGTAACAGAGGTATCAGATGATTTCAGAGAAAATCTGAAAAATGATCAAACGTCGAAAATGCCAATCTATGGTGATACTCATGCTAATGCTGAAGTAGCGCTTGAAACTGCCGGTAAACTATAAAAATTCTGCAGTAATGTACGGCAATATTTTCTGCGCTTCTTTGATTGTTTTTAAATCATTTTCGAATTATGCACTTTTCAATTCTAAATCTAGTATAAATAATTATTCCAAGTGCTCAATCTTTTTCGTTGAAAGATTACAATATTTGAATTTTCATCGAACTTATATCTTTTAATGTGATATTATTGAAGATTTACCTGTGAAAATGATAAAGGAACCGTTCTTTGTGGTAGAACCGATAAAAAATATGGTTGTTGAAGAAGGTGATGTCCTAAGCATTATTTGTGATATCGATGGTGAACCTGAACCGAAAGGTTAGAAAATTCTCATTTTCTCTAATGTATTATTGTATTGTTATCTTTTAATTTCGGTTACAGTCTGCAAATTTTTGCAAATTAATTAGAACTAAAATTTTTGAACCATTTAGCGGAATTCAAGCGAAATTCACATTTTTATGTGGAAAACGTCTTATTAGCTACTTTTTTTCCTTTCCTTTCTCTTCACTTCCGTTATCTTTTACAGTTACGTGGTTTAAAGATCATTCTCTGATCAAGGATGATCGTTTTGCAATTCAAAAAGAAGGTATCAGCCATCGGATTATCATCTCTTCCGTCTTACTCAACGATGAAGGTGTTTACAGAGTAGAAGCGGAAAATAGTAGTGGAAAAATCTTTGCTGATATCGTAGTACATGTTACTCCCAAACCGTAAGTTGAAACTGAAATTACTGATTAATTTTTTATCTCAGCTGTCAATTTCTTTGTAACCATGCATTTCAAACATTGTAGCATTTTTTGAAAAATGCTGCAATGTTTGAAATGCACGGTTAGTTTTTTTTTTTTTTGTAATTCAGTTACATTATTCAAATTGTAACTGAATTACAAAAAAAAAAAAAACTGTAATGAAGTGATGATTTCTTTCAGAAAACCGGAAGCCATCAAGGAAAAAGTTGATTTACCACAGTCTAGTATTTCAATTGGTCAACCATACGCTACGCAACTTACCAGAAATAGCCTATTATTGAAATGGACAGCACCTGAAAATGATGATTCAAAAATCGAATTTATTGTTGAACAAAGAAGGTAGATTTGGACCTTTTACTTCAAATCATATTTAACCGAAATTTGTTGCTGTTTATTTTTTCATTCAACAGAGTTCAACCGTTATTGTGGGATATAATTTTTTGATTGTTTGATAAATTACAATAATTGCTAACTTTTGGAAAATTTATACAAAAAATACCTCATTACAAAGAATTTATCATTACACATAAATTTTTTTCCAGAGCTGATGTTCAAACATGGACACAAGTAGGTAAAGCCTTGAAAACGGAGCTTCCAGTAACCGATTTACAAGCCGGCACTGAGTATATATTCCGTGTTGCTGCAAAAAATGTTAGTTAATTTCACTAAAAAATTCGACAATAGTCACAAATTTTTTATTTTTTTAATATCCTTATTTTACAGGTTGGCCAGACAGTGGGCCAGACAGTATATTCGCCGTTATCAGCAACTATCATAACACTTCCAGTTGGCAAAAAACCAGCCTTAAAAAGTGTTCCGCCTGCAATATTGGTACTTAATGAGAAGGAAGATATCGAGCTTATTATTGATTTCGAAGGAGAACCAACACCGTCCGTTAAATGGTATCAAAATGGTGTCGAATTAATCGATGGTAAGAATAACATGACAATAATTACTGTAACCGGTAAATCGAGCAAATTGGTTATCAAGGAGCCGAAAGGAAATCTCCATTCTGGTCTTTACTCATGTCATATCGAGAATAAGGCTGGTGAGACTGTTTACGAGATACATATCACGGAAGAAAAGGTATTTATTTGTTGTGAAATTATTCGCTTTTTATTTAGAATTTTGTTGATTTTTACTTGAAATTTTTAAAAGATTCACTTTAACTTTTTATGCTTTTTCATCCAACTATGCTAAAGTGATACAAAATCTAAGTAAGACAAATTATCCTCAATTTAGGATGAAATAAGAGCAAAAAAAATCGGCGATGACACGAGAAATGAGCTTCTCGAAGGTCAGCCACAAATTTTGGTACCACTTTCGAATGAAACTACTGTGACAGGTCAACAGTTTGTTCTCAGCTGCGAAATAAAATCTTCACCAAAAGGTGTCGTATCATGGTTCAGAAACGATGAAAGACTAGCGTAAGTTATGCAACGGTTTCTTGGAGACCAAATTTTTCGACCATTTTCGAACTTGTAAATTGCTTTTGTGCCAGTTCTGCATAATTTGCTGATATGGTTCGATGTAAAATAATAAGATCTAAGATCTCACCTTTACTTTAAATTTTTTCTTTTCACTATGAGAGAATCATTAGAAATTCGATTTTTTAATATTTGTGAAAAAGATAGCCAATAGCTGCAAATTTAAGAAGTGAACATATATAAATTAAACATTTTAAAGATTTTACAAAAGTAAATATTTTGAATGGAGAGTTTTCTAATTAGATTTGTTTGAGATTTTAATTGAAATGTTGTGAACGTTTTTGTGTTTTGTAGGATTCTTTTAAGGGATAGCGTTGTTTAAGCATAATCGAATTGTAATGAAGGTTTACTTATTTGATAGAAAGTTTTATTCTTGATGTTATAGCACAATTCTTAAGATTATAATCGATTACTTGGTCGTTCTTTTTACTGATTTCTCGCAAGAGGAAGATTTCATACTGATTGTTGGTGGTAGCGATATTGAGAAAATGTTGAAGTTCAGTTATAACACACCAATGATACATGGAGATAATACAAATTAAAATAACATCCACTTAAATGCTACAACTGTGATGATATTTATAGTCTTGACAGTGAATACTGTTTATAGTAACTGAATAATGTCATTTGATATATGAAACAATGATCGTTTATAATAACTAAAGACGGTATATAAAATAAAGCATCGTTTAAATAATGACTAAAGGCGGGTTTATACAAAGCATTGGCGGGATAAAGCGAAATAAAGCAGTTGGAGGAATAAAGTGAAAGTCTATTTTGGTTATAGCTTATTTCGAATTGAACTTATTTCGAAATATTAATAATACAAAGATATTGATAAACATTGACAATGATAAACATTGACTTAGAATTTGCGATAAAGAATATATTTAATGTATTTAATATGGATATTAATATATTTAATATGAATATTAATAATACAACGATATTTCAAGCATGTTAAATAATTTTATTGTGAGGTTATTTTCGGGTCTCTGACATGAAATACTGTTATAAAAAATAATCTTTTTGCAGTCCTCTCGGTCGTTATGAAATGCTTGAAAAGGACAGTATTTACAAATTAATATGTCATAGTGCTGAAAGTAATGACAGTGCGACATATCGATGTGTTGTAACTAATACGATCGGAATTGCGCAGTCAGCATGTGAGGTATATATAGAAATATTCTTCCATCTCTTTAACCTTACTGCTTCAAAATTCTCTGAATTTAACAAATATGAAACTATTAACTACAATTTATTGAATATGAAATTCCATAAAAACTTTGCAATAGTATTATTAATTTCAGGTAACAGTTCTGGCATCAGCTCCGCGCATGGCACCCAAATTTGAAATACCATTGCAGGACAAAACAGCTTTAGCTGATAAGGAAGTAAAACTGAAATGCCGCGTTCTTGGTGATCCTCGACCTGAGGTAGAATTCTCTTCAGAATATTTTTGGAAAGATTTATAAAGCGGATAGTTTTGCTTTACCTTATTTTTTTTTTGAATTGGATCCTTTATTTATGCAAATAATAAGCGTTCTGCTAATCCAGTACATTGAGATATCACATATGTGAGTAACAATCTTAATCTTTATAACAGTCTTAACTTATGCTTTTGATTAGTTCCTCCAGTTCACCTGAAATTCTAGTCTAGGAAATTTCTTTCATTATATGAAAGTGAAATGCATTTATAGATTACATGGATGAAAGACGGCACCGTGATCAGTACAACTCGTCGTCAAAAACTTGAATTCACTGAGGATGGCTGGTGTTCGCTTATAATTTTCAACTGTACCGCAAAAGACACTGGTTTGTACCTGTGTACAGCATCCAATGTACTCGGTAGCGAAAATTCTCACTTGATGCTAACTGTCGCAGAAGTCGCTGGCCCAGATTCACATTTGGTTACAGCCAAAAGTAAAGAAATGCAGTATTGTAAACCAAGATTTACTCGTGTACCGGGTGCAGTAGTCGAAACTACTGAGGGATCTACGGTCTGTTATTCTAAAATTATGATCCGAAATAAATTCAAATATTGTAATGTTATTCAAAAATTCAATAGTTTGCTTTCATCCATTTTTTTGAAGCTAATTTAATTGCCTAAACCGTTTGTCAAGTGTTACAAAGACGGAAACGAGGTATTTTGAAGTTAACAATTTAATTTCAGGTAAAATTAATAAGTCGCGCCATTGGCTTGCCTAAACCGCTTATCAAATGGTACAAGGACGGAAAAGAAGTATACAAGTTTGACATTTCATTAACTAAAAATTACTTGATTATCACTTTTTGTCATTGTATTAAACTGATGTCAATTAAATAGGACAAAATAGGATAAAATATCCATTAGAAAGATAGTTTAGACCTTGTTCTTTAATCACGGATCTCTGGAGATATAACAATTCATTTGAAATAACAGCGAACTTAATTGTTACAGATTACAAAAATGAACCGTGCATACGAAATATTACTAACTGGAGAAGGTGAATCAGTACTTCTTGTACAATATGCTGTTATGAAAACAAGTGGTACATTTAAATGTGTAGCCGAAAATTCCGAAGGCTCGGCAAGTTTCGAAACACAGCTTATTGTACATAGTAAGTGTTTGCTTCTTCTTACGTCTTTCAGCGATATTTTATTTGTCAATCGAATTTTTATTAAGTGAAAACTTTTCAAAACTCTTTTAAAAAACTTTCCAAAAGTGGAACTTTTCAGGAATTCAATTTCCAATTATTTATACCAATTTAAATTCAGTTTCATACAAAAATTTTAGCTCTTCTGCATAAGCAACAGCAAGAAGAATATGCACCGAGTTTTACGATGGATTTGACAGACATTAGTGTTGCAATTGGATATCCTGTTACACTCAAATGTTGTGTTAAGGGTAGTCCTGAACCTCAACTTAAGGTATGATATTTTGTTGTATCATAAACCAAAATTGATTTTAAACAGCTACTTCTCCTATATCTGGTCTCAAAGAAATTTAATTTGGTGTAATTTAATAAAAGAGACTATCAAGAATTAATCCAATATGAAAGAGATAAATCTACTTTTTTCTATTTTTAAACATCTTCATTTTAACATTTAGTATTTCAAAGAAAATCAAAAATCATTTAATACTTTACGACAGTCTGATTTCTAAATATGAGGAATTAATCCGAACAGTTCTAAATTTTAAGAGTGAAAAAACATCATAGAAAA